GATGGGACCAGGACAGGGTAGCTTTTTATACTGCTGGGGACAACATAGGTGCTGGCCCCGGGCTCTAGCTCCCCCTGGCTGAAGATCTGGGAGGAGCCAGGCAGGGTTATTTTGCCCTAAGTGGCACAATTTGCTTCACAACAAAGTTCATGTCTGAGCATGTGCGCTGAGGCAAAAAGCCCAGGCTCAAATTTGCACCACTTCTATTTGAGCTGCTGCAAGCACATGTGCTTGCATGTGTGGACATGCCCATATTGTTCACTTGTGTGGAGAAAAACCAAGATCAAAGGACTGACATTCTGTCCCGATTACCTGCTTTAGTTGATATTTCTTTCTTAAATACTTCAATAGTTTCCTTTGACTTAAATGCTACCTAGGATGTTCTAGGATGGGGAATAATAATTAGCTTTAGAAATGTTTAGGTTTTAAGCTTTTTCATATATTGAGTTAAACCCAGCTAGTGCCAAAGGAGACTTCATATGAGTACTGAGATTCAGTTGTGGCTTGTCACTGTGTATTTAGTACATGTGCAGTTTGATATGACTGCAGACCAGCTTACTGCTCTGATCCTGCAACAGAATGCGGCAGAGCTGTATTGATTTATCCAGTTATGTTGATGATGACATTTGAATTTTTTTTCTGTTCTAGGTTTAGCGTAAGCAGGAAAAAGTTTAGGTGTCAGGTTCTGTAATATTCACTGATATGATGTATGCATTTTTAATACCACAGTAGTTGGCGCTATAAAAGCCTCAGTTTTTAAATATACCTTTTGATTTTGATACCTGTGATAATGAACTATCAAATAACATTGTCTCGTAGTTCAAACTCTGCTCACTTTGAGCAATGAACCATCAGGCACTGTGGGGGGAGGAGGAGGGAGAATACACCTCTTTAATTTTAGGCATCCTTTGGAAAGAAAGAAATATCGTTTAAATCAATGCTCTAAAACATAAGCCTTCTTTGTGTTTGATCACGCACAGGTATGTGCACTGTTGCATACATGAGTAGAACTAACAACAATCATTAGGAAAGGGAGCACATGTCAAATTTGATCCTTCATTAATAAGACCACTGCAGTGTGGCTGCCAAATTACTCCTAACTAGCAAAATATAAGATAATGCCACCTTGTTTTGTTCCTCATTATGTGCCTACCAAGTTACCTATCTTATCTGAGGACCTTGGCCTATTTTCATTGAAGCCAATTCCAAAACTCCCATTGGCTTCATTGGCACAGGATCATGTCTACGAGGACATTAATTGTGCACTCCTGAGCTGAACACTCAAGCCTATCTCATCAGCAGAGGGGTAATGAGCAGGGTTTGCACCCTGGTCATGTGGGAGATGGGGGAAATACTACTGACTACTGGAGGAGAGGAGGTATGCAGGGGAGAGCAGGGGGAGGAGGAAGGGAGAAGGAGTCTTAAACTGCTCCTGGACTTCACAGTTTCATAGCAGATTTAGGTTAGGCATCAGGAAGAACTTCTTTATGATAAGGGTTGCCAGAATCTGGAATTGGCTTCCGAGACAGATGATGCTCTCCCCTACCTTGGGTGTCTTTAAGAGAAAGCTAGACATACACCTGGCTGGGGTCATATAACCCCAGCGCTCTTTCCTGCCCAGGGTAGGGGATCGGACTCGATGATCTACTGAGGTCCCTTCTAACCCAAATATCTATGACTCTATAGTTGTTAGGGGCTAGAAGGGACCTTACTTTAAAAAAAAACATCCCTGACTGCTGCTGCCACAGCTTGCTCTGCCTTCCCCAGGTGCTGCTACTAAAGTACATAAGTCAGTTGCAAAATGTCTGAAGCTGGTTTAAGATAAACCTGGTTGAATGTAGTATCAGACTTAACTGATCTGGGTCAAACTGGTTTATGGAACTTCTGTCCCAGACCCCTTCCTGGTTTAAGTTAAATCAGAGTCCCCCAGAATCCCAGCATGCTTTTCATCTCCGGGCTGGGCTGTCTGCTCCAGAGAACAGGGCTGACCCCGCCTCTCTCCTCCCTAGCCAGAGCTCCAGCTGGCTGAGAAGGAAGTGGGGGACTGTGACTGGGGTCTGCTTGACAGGGACACGGCAACATCTGCCAGGCTTCCCTATGCTCCCACCCTCTCTTACCACTTCCTGTTCAAGCATGGATTCCCCTCCCCCCCGCTCCCCCTCACATGGTAGGGACCACAGCAGTACAGCCACTCCCATGCTAGCTAATGCCGAGAGGTGTCTATGCGTGTATGTCTCCAATTTCACTGGAACAAAGACAGACAGAACAGTGTTCACTTCTTTTTCCCTGAGGAAGTAGCCAGTGGCTTGCAAATGCCTTACAAAATGCCTGTACCCTGCAGTAAGAAGAGCTTGAACTAATGAGAGAAAGGCTTTTGTTTTCTTGATGGGCTAACAAGCTTTGTGTTCTGATAAGCTCCCCGATGGCTGCTGGCTTGCTTCAAAGCCATAGCCCTGAAACCCTTATATCAAATGAAGTTTCCTTGTGCAGTGATTAGTGCTGGTGATTGCTTCTACACATCAATTACTAAGCCTGGTTAAAGTGCAGCTTCCCCATCCTGCAATGTGTCAATGTTCAACAGGGGACAGAGAGAGGTGTGAGAAATGACCTGGTCTGCAATGAATGGGATCTATCAGTGCTGTTAGTTTAAGCAAATACAAAGCACTAGCTAGCAGGATAATATAGATGCATGCAGTCCACACAAGCAGCTTCCCCCGCCACCCCCTTTGCCTCAGAGTGCTAACTGGGACCAGGGTCTGGCAACACTCCCTGCCCCTTAAGCTGCGAGCGAGGGAAAAGCCTGGCAATGGCTACTTCCCCCCACACTCCGGCTGGGGACTGTGCAGGTCAGGGTTGGGGTTTAAACCCCTCCCTAATCATGGTGTCCTTCCAGGGCCTGGCCATCACCCCCCTCCCCCCAGCTCAGTATTGTGGAAGAGAAGGGAGGGCTCACTCTAGCACTCCCCGGCTTCTGGCCCGAGCCACTGCAGGCACGTGCCTGCATTTCCTGAATTAAACGTGAATGTCTATCCACTTGCAAATCGGTGTAATCTATGCAGGTTAAACTAACCTGCAAAGATTGAATCAATTCAGGCTTTTTGAATGTCTGTCCCTAGCCTCAAAAGTTAAACTACTGCTCATCAAACATACCTATTCTATACTCACACCTCACCCCACTGTTGCCTTGTAGATCTGCAAGCAAGGTTGTTGGGAGCTGAGTCTGTACCATTCAATGTGGAGTACTATAGCTAACAGACCACCAAAAACTTACCTACACCCAAGGGCAGCCTCTACTCACATGTGAGCATCTGAATGCAACAACTTTGTGCATCATGCAAGGTTCTGCAGCATATTTTATTGTAAAAACTAAATCTCTTACACAGAAATGCCTACTGTGAACCAACTATAGGCTTTTCTTCTTAGAACTGCGTATACGGAAATCCTACTAAAAAGATGGTTTACCATGCAGTAGGCCTTTCCCTCTAAGATCCTACTGAAGGCTCACATTCTGGGTGCCTATACACATGCAGGGACACTACTCTAATGTGCTGAAATTACAGCATGTTGGAGAAGACTCAATTCATTCACCCATTATTCCAGAGGATCACATGGCATGAACCATGATGCAATGTTACTATGCAGTAGTTACAAGTTACTGTGCAGCCAGTGTCACCAGGAAGCTGTGCGGGGATGCTACTGTGCAGTAATGCCAGTTACTGCAGTCAGTCATTTAGGAGTTGGATATGCAAGTATTAAATGACTGTGTAGTAACAAATGGGCAGTCAATGTCTTATATAAACATGGCCACTGACTTGAAGCATCTAAAAAGTCCTGCCTGAGTTTAATCAACATGTATGCCTTACCTCTTTAAATATTCTGTTTTACAAAGTCATGCCCACAAAATGAGGGGAGAATACTACACACATTACCAGGCCCAATGCTTATGCCTATGAGACGTTCTTTTAAAAACTTTTAACTTATCTGTTCATGAAATAAAGTATTACACCCATTTGCTAAATAAGGATTATATTCTGTAAGAGACAACATCAAGTGAAATGCTGGTATCTTTGAAACAGATGGGAGTTTTGCCATTTGCTAGATCCAGATTGCGTCTTTAAAACTATCATGCTTATAATATTGAATTTGGGATGAATGGTTATTAGAGAAACAGTATTAAACAACAAAAAGAAAATAAAGTAGCTTCTCATTGCAAACAAACAAAAACCTAAATGAATGTAAAAAAACCCAGTATTTGCAGCAATAATGATAGCAATACCCTGTGTTAACCAACTAACTGTAAAAAGACAATGTGGGAACTTATATATTAAGCTGTCTGGTGGCCATTATGGTCCCACAAAATACGGCAGTAGTGGGCACAGCTACACATTCATTTATTCCAACCTAGATTTATTGTGCAGTAAGATACTGCACAGTAAGGTTTTTTGGGTATGTGTATACACATGCAAGGATTAAGTAGTAGATTTGCTCCCAGTTCCCTGCAGCCCTGCAATGCACCCCTGTGGCCACTGGGGGGAGCTCCAGGCTCCCCCTGGATGCTAGCCCAGATACTCGCAAGGAGCACTGGGCCAGAAGACAGCCCTGGGGGGTTGCCTTCTGCTGGGGCAGGGACAATGTCCCCCTGTCCCAGCAGCATTATTCCAAATAATGTATGCCTAGGGCCAAGATTCACAAAGCCAGTTGATCTTAACTGTATTCTTCAAAAGTCACAAACAGCTGAATGGCAGATCTATGCTTTAAGTTACACTAAACAGTTTAACCATAGGCATTGTTCAGTAGAAACAAATATGGCAAAAAGATCCCTTAGTGCTGTAGTCTACAAAGGAAAATCTCTTAAGGCCACATATATTTCTTCCCACTCACCATCATCTGCATCAGCCAGGATGATTACTTTGGTGCTAGGAAATTCGGGACCAATTTTTCCACCCATTGGCATGCTTAGCGTAACGTTGAAAGTCTCGTCTTCCTCATAGAGGGAATCATCAATAATGATTACGCGACAAGTTTTCTCCATCTCATCCTTATCAAAGCGAATGATGCTGGTGTGATCTTCGGGACGGGAGATATAGTCAGAGTAGGACAAGACAGAAGATGGAATGGTGCCTGTGGCAGAACCTACAAGGAGAGAGAAATAAACAGCTGTGATTATTAGTAACAAATTAAAGACCAATTAAAAACCGTTGATGAATACTCACAAGCAACTGAATAAAAAGTGCTAATGTATTTTATATTTGGAATAGTCTCTGTAAAACAACAATTAAATGCTTACTTTTTACTCCTATAATGTTTTGTGGAAAGTGAAAAAAAATCGTGACATTTGCTTCCGACTTTTAGACTGTTACACTTTATTTAAACACAATGAATAAAGACAGTCTTATTCAAAAATATATTTTATTTGAGGCATACTTTCTTGAACTAATCTTTATGGGCCAGCTCCTATAGTGCTTAATCAAGCACAAATCCATGAGGCTGCATGGGTTGTTAGTGAGAAAGCAAAGAGTTAATTCCAACCTTTGTTTATAGGACACTCAAATACTGAAATACCAATACAGTATGTGTAAAAAATAATTTATTTTGATGACATAAACTCTTTCCTTCTTATAGTATAAAAAGACAAAACTAGTATACTTCTAGTATACCTCTGAGGCAGTCTAACTTAGACTGATCTAAATGTCCTGACCTTTTGTACAATTCTCAGTGGTCAGGCCTGGGAAAGCCCAGCAAATGGCCCTAGCTCTGGAGCTGTGCTTTTCCTATCCCCTCCCTGGCACTGGACTAGTTTTAGCCCACTGGCTTCTCTCCTCACCCCTAGATGGACAATCAGCCAATCCCACCCCCTGCCCAAGGCCTGCCAATGCAACATCTCACAAACCACTCCTCATGCCAGTTTTACCAGCATTCAGCAATGCCAGGAGCTGAGGAAGTTAAGTCATGGTTGGGGGAGTGGTGGGTGGGATGGGGGGTTGTTTATCTGGGGGAGGGTTGGGGGGCTAAAAAACCCCTTCACTCAGGGGTAGGGGAGAGAACAAGCAACTCCCCCACCCCTCCCCATGGACCCCATATGGCACCCTGATCCTGCCAAACTCCCCTGGCCCCCAGCAACTCCCTCTATGGATCCAATCTGCCTCCGCAAACAATGTGACAATTAAGGCAACTGTGTATTTGGGTAAGCACACAGTGTTCTTTTAGGGAAAACCTACAGGGATGCAAAGCCCCAAGTTGGATTTTCTGTGCCCCAGTAAATAACAAAAGTATGTGGGAGGACGGGGGAAGTTATTCACCCCCTGCAAGTCTTTGATAAAGGAACAAATGACCTTTGAATCCTTGACTTTCTCAAGATTCCTGCTAGGAACTGAGGCTTTCTGACTGACTGCCAAGGTAAGAGGTGAAATAGAAACTTCTATTAGAAATAATTATTTAAAAAAAAGCGACAACACTGAGAATGAGCTTCCATTTTCCCTGTTCATGAAGCATGCAGAATGTTGATACCATAGGCTGTGATTAGCTGATAGAGGATTTTGATATGAAAAAAAAAAAAAAGAATCATGAAGACCTTCACATCTCACTGCTCAGGCTAAATGCCAGTCTAACAGAAGCTTAGTTTCATTTATAAATGTCCATTACCTTATCTTTATTAAATCTATTCCCCCTAGTGTATTTCATTTTTGATCATCAAACAGTTATCTGGTATATTTTATAATAGCTAGCATTTTTTCCTCCTCTGTCATCTTCCTTTTTCAATTTATAGTAGACTCTATAATAATCAACTGTGGTAGGCAGACTGATGATTACAGAATATTCTTGTCTTTGCTGTGTATCTCAAGAAAATTAAGATTTGTTTAAAGAAACCCCCTCACAAAATGTTCTTGTGGTATGAACTAAGACCCCTAGTACACCATCGGTATTCTCTAAAGTAATCCCTTTTACCGTCAGATTGGAAATGAGTAGTTTCACAAAGTTGGGTTTGTACACCCCTGATCTTTTGCTGAAGCTGGGATTTGGGCCTGAACATTGACATTGTATCTGGCACCTAGCTATATCATGAGCCACCCAAAAAACTGATCTGAATTTAAAGATGATTAAGATCTAAAACTGTATCTGATCTTTGTAGTTTATAACCAACTCTATAAAACATCCACTCTAATGAAGAAATCTAGCAACCGTTGAAAAACACTAAGTTTTTAAGGCACTGAGAAAACATGATACATTTAATGCTCTATTAGTTACTTCTAATGGAAATCATAACCCAGACCTGTTAATTTTGAAATACCAGTTCCTATTACAATATAAATTTAACTGCTATTTCAGTAAAAAGGTTAAGAATTTGTGCATTTACATACTGTATGGCATTCATTCAGAAAGGATACTGAGGTCAAGGCAGTTTCCATGTTTAAAGTTGGAAGTGTTCTTATATACATCATCATAACAGGAATTCTGGAACCCTTTTCCAAAGGTAGCAGGTCTCACAGAAAGACTTACTGCTCGGAAAACTCCACAATGATGAAACACTCTTTCTGCTGCGGAAGGAAGGACCAGGGCCCTCTGAAGCCCAGGGGCCACTCCACCCACTGGAAGCTTGCTCTCTGGCCACGGGAGACATGGGCAGGCTCCACACACACACAAAAATAATTAAAAAAAAAAAATTCAGGCCCTTCACTGCTTCTGCCTTCAACCCACCTCTGCCTCAGCAAGAGGGGCGAGCTGTCAAAGGCTGTGATGTTACAAATAGCTGTTGCAAACTAAATTACATGTGGATGTGGTTTAGTTTGCAACCTAGAAAACTTGTTTAAATAATTTTAAAAAACCCGTACGTGTACAGCATGACACAATTAAACTGCTAAAACAGCCAATTTTTGTCATGTGTACAAGCACCCTATCTTCATTACTTGACTAAATAACAAACCTTGATGTGTGGAACAAATGACCATTAGTTCTTGACTTATGTCTCCCAATCTTCTAATAGGAATGAACAGCTCACCAATATCTTCTTCTACTTTATAATCTAGTAGAGGAATATGCACTGTAGATTCTAAAAAGAGAAAAAGAGAGACACATTCAGTGCTGATGTTAGTTAAATCACATGAGGTGTGTCTACACATGTATTTACACATGCCTAAACTTAATGCACCTTTGCTTAAGGTGCATTAAGGTGCATGTCTACATGTGGACATGCTAATGTACATTAAGGTGCATAAAACTTAGGTGCAAATAGCTGAGTCACATTAGCACACATGCAAACACACTAATGTACATTAATGCATTGTGTATTTATTGACACACACAGCGTTAATGCACATTAGCACGTTTACATGTGCGCTAATGTGACTTAGCTATTCATGCCTAAATTTGATATCTGCTTTATGCATGTAGACATGCACTCTTAATGTGCCTTAAAATGGCGATTTTAGGCTAAGCCCACTTAAAAGAGGAATGTGTAGACATGCCCAGGGAGTATGAATCTGGACAACAAAGGGGTTGACCATGTTTTTCTAAGTACTTGGATAGTGATTCACAGCCTCATTTAAGTCAACAGAAATTTTGCCTGACTAAGTATAAAAGGGAGCCCAGCACTTGGCTCCTGAACTTGTAAGCTGTGGGTACGCACTACTTCTTGGAAGCATGAATTTTCTGTTAGGAAACGAAAGAAGAGGAGCTGTAAGTGCCAGTAATATAACTAGGGGTGGGATGACAGGGCATTCACTCCAGGAACCAAGTTAGGTCCCCACCCCCATCCCCACAGAGTCCATGCCCCAGGAGTCTTTCCATGCCAAGAACTCTGAAACAGTCCCTGACTGCTGCAGATTTAAGATGAACAGCTAGGGCAGGTAGAGCACATGTGTCTGGGATTGTGTAGGAGTCTCTGCATGAGTAAGAGTGCTGTTCCCCAACCTGCTCTCACTTTCAGAACCTAGGCTCTCGGATTCCCCACCCCTTTGACTTCCTCCTCTCCTTCCTCTTCTGCTGCTCTCAGAACCCCCCTTCAGCCTCTGCCCTCCCCACTTGCTATTTTGCTTAGAACCACGTGCCTACCCCTCATCCCACTCTTGGAATTATGTGCCCACCCCTCCCTCCCTCCTTCCCCCCATGCTCTCCCATGGAGTTTATCCCATGTGCCAACTTTGCTAGTTACACCGCTGGTAAATGCTGCATACCATCACCAGGATCCACAATTTCAATAGTTGCTATTTCTGGAAACTCCAGGGCAGCCATAACAGGATCAGACAAGACAATCTGGAAAGTTTCAGATGCTTCATATTCATTATCTATGACTATCCTCACTCTCCAGGTAGCTCTGGTCTGTCCTGGATTGAACTGAACCTGTTTCTGAGGTTTCCCTTTGAAATCTTTATCCTTTTTTGCTGTTCCATCTTTCGTTCCAATACCTGTACAAATAAGTTTAGAAGAATTATTCTCCACAAAAAAAAGAATACCAGCAAAACCAAGTGACAAGTTAGATTTATTTTTTAAAAAGTGGCTGCTAATAGATTATAATTATAAGCCATTTTACACACAAGTATTTATAATGTGTATATACTAAACATTCTCTGCCAATACAGCATGGGGCACATTTTAAAATGTAGATAGGAGAATCTATCCTTGCAAATATTTATGCACAAAAATAACTTAATTTGTGTTAATAGTTCCACTAATATAAACCAATGGGCACCTAGTCCTGTATTAGCATGCACATAGTTACTTTGCAAATCCAGAAACTGAAAAGCTTTATTAACCTGGGTAAAATTATGTACAAGCATTTTCAGGATTGGACTCTCAAGTTACCTATATAAAATGCATATATACCCATGCCAGACTATACTGACAAACAGTTGCATACTTACATGATAACCTGTGGATACTACCCTAGCTCTTGCCTGCTTTTTGGGGATGAAGCAGGGCATGTCTTCATTTAAGGTAGCCATATTTAAAGTGTTAGTCCATGCCGGTGCAAATTTATCACTACATGTTAACTTATAAATTTTCATGACTCTTGATGCTCTGTTTATATGGAAACTCCTAATAAATAAATAAGCTCTGTTAAGTCATTTAGTCTAGCTCCTTGTCAATGCAAATTATTTCCCTACCAGCTTTTTTACCAGGATAATTTTAACCTTTGCTCAGTATTTCTGATTTACCACTTCCATTGGGATGATACCCTGCCAGCTAACAAGATTTTCCTTTGGAGTTGCATGTGGATCCATTTTATTCAAGCCAGATTTGTACTGACTGAGGATTTGATTCAATGGTTTTGAATTGTCACCTAGATTGGCAGCCCTAGCACGTGATCATGAAAAATCTATGTGATAAGAAAGAAATTACCCCAATGAGAACAACAGAGCAATTGTTAAAGTACCCAGGTAACCTCCAGAGAAAGACACAGACCCAAAATTTGAATGTTGTGCCATTTAAATGGAAACAGATATGCCACAACATTGTTATGAGATGCATTTTCAATAAAATAACTAAATAGGGAAAGCAAATATGTGCATGGAGTGCATTGTGCATTTGTGTGTCAACATACTCTGTCTCAGGAAAGGAAATAACCCAACTAGATTTTTCTGACCACTTAGAACCTATCTATCTACTTTAGCTTAGCATAATTGTTCTTATACATTTGAGGTAGCATTACTTAGTCAAAAAATAAAGAACCAAGGATTTTCTGACTCAGTTTACTATTAACTTTCTATTAACTGATTTTATTCAAATTATTGAAAGCTTACTCTTTCTTGATTTACCCATTTGTAAAATGGTCCTAATAGTACTTGACTAAATAACTAGAGAAGGATTGTAAGGCTTAATTCAATAATCTCCATAAAGTACTTTTAAGACCAAACAGTGATGATACAGAAATACACATTATTTACATTAAAAACTATTTTAACAAAGTGAGAAAGTACCATACATTATACAGCCTAATACACACACACACACACACACACACACACACGCACATGCACATGCACGCACGCATGAGAGAGAGAGAGAACAACCACCAAGATGTAAATAAGAGGAAGTTATTTCACTTAACATGTAAAGGGTTTCTACTTTACTTTTTTCAATTTAGTTCAAAAAGAAAATAATCAATAGAAACAGTATGCACACACTAGTACACTGTGCATTTAATAGATTCTTGCTTCATATTACACTGTGAGGTTTGAGAGTTCAATACTATCTTAGGTTTTTAACCAGAAGCAGTGCAAACATTTAAATTCTTCTTTTTATTTTTCACTTGACTCCAGCAATTATGAATCACTACCTCCTTTGGCTGAGAATAATTAATTCTTGTCATGATGAATACCCTACCTGGTTCAGAGAGAATCTGATATCCTGCAAAAGTCTCTGAAAGCTGTGAAGTATGAAATCATTCCTAAACTAGGAGTTGTAGTTCTTACACTTCAGAACTATTTAGGAGTGCCTAATTGAATTTTCAGACAACAACTTGATACCTTGTGTCTGCGCTATAGGATACAAGTTGTTTGGATTAAATAAAGCAATTAAAACTTTTTAAAGTGAAAAATGTTACTGAAAATGATGAGCTAATTTTTTTGGGATACTCTTGTCCAGTGGTGCCACTCCAGTGGTGCACAGAGAGGAGAGACTGGACATCTTTCTTCTGCTGAGAGAGAGAGAGTGGGTCTGCCATAGTTATAGAACCCTCTTCTACCAGTCTACGATACCAAAGTCATGACTTCACCAGGCTGTGCTCTTGCTTTCCTTTGCGAGTAGATGGCCCCTTGAGAGCTGCTACTAAATAGCAGAGTTTGAAATTGCCTCTAGCCAACTTAAAACTGTCCTAAGAAATCAGAGGAATGTCATTGGCTTCCTAACAACTTCCCTACCCTACTCTGCCAGCAGAGACTGGACACAGCAAGCAGCCTGTGAAAAAAGTCAACTTTTCAAAATTAATGCCAAATATAAACTGGATAAAGTTCTTACTTCATTCAACAAGCATGTCTGTTGTCTGTCTATTAATGAAAAAAGAACAACTTTTGCACCTCTTATCCTTCCAGGTTAAAGTGAATAGTAGGAGGGAGTCAGTGTGCAGGATCCCAGAGCAGAGATTGGTGTTGGAACCAACCTGTGGAACAGGCCAGGGCCGGAGCCAGCCTGGGGGAGAGGTGGGAGGAAAATGGGCTCCGCACCACTCCTGGCTGCCCACCTGCTCCTCTGCTGGCCTCAGCAGAGTGGAGATGTCTGTCCCATCCTGTCCCAGTGGCACTGGGGCTGGCGGCTGCCTGCAGATGGTGAAGAGTGGGAGTGGGGCCACCCCTGGGGTCTCCTGGCAATAGACGGCCCTGGGAAGCCACCAACACCTGCACAGAGCCCTGCACTTGCCCCCTAGCCTCTGGCTCTGGCCCAACCAGAGTGGAGAAGGCATGCGCTGCTTGCCCTGGATGCCCACTGCCCCTGGCACTCCAGGGGGCACCTGATTGGCAGGGGCCCCTAGGCTTGGGCCCTGTGTTAATCTGCCCCTGGCACAAATGCTCAAGAAGTCACCACAGCAACCTGGACAGCAACCATGGGGGATGCCAGAACAGCCTGGGGGACAACAATGACTTAAAGCCTGTTCCTAAAGCTTTGTGAATGTGAAGTTTGGGTCTAAGTGAAAGAAGTCATATTCCTAAAATAGCTTCACATTTCTGCATTAGGTGTATCCAGAGATTTCAATGGATTTTTTACTTTGCATTATCTAAATATTTTTGGGACACACAAGAAAGACACTTTGATATTTCTTAATGGTTTATTCCATCCATTTAAACAGCTTATTGAAGGCAATCTTTATAGAAAAGCTAATTAACTTTGCACAGTATATTTGTATCCTGACTAATTTTTTAAAATTTATTTCACCCCTGGCAGACATACAATTAAAGCTTTAATGGTATCTGATGAACAATCATGCCACGCATGGAGGCATGATTGTCAGATCCAGCATCAGATCCCAATGACATATGGCCAGAGCGAGGGGAACCTGGGATCATAATCCTAGGTTCCCTCTGTACCACCAAGTTTGATGAGTGACAATCAGCTGATCATTGACTAGCTCTGGGGGAAAATGGGGCCATTTAAACCTCCCTGTGATCCTCGGAGCTAAACAACAATCATCTGATTAATCGGCAGATTAGGACTGCCCCAGTGCTCGAGTCCTTGCGCAGTCCCAATCTGCAGTTGGCTGGCAGGGATTACCGGATGGTTCCAGCCCTGGAATGGTCCCTTCTAGACCATTTTTTTGTACTAAGTGATGCTACCTCAATGGATTAGCTCAGTGGTTGTCAGCCAGGAGTATGTATAACCCTAGGGGTACTTAAAAGGTCACAGCGGGTATCCAGAACTGAAGTGGCTGATAATGCGGCCAACAAATGCCACGTGTGTGTAGAGCCACAGCGCAGCCCAACAGCATGGAGAGCTGCTGGGTCTGGCTGGTAAGTCTCTTGTGAGGGAAGGGGCGTGGGGAGCAGAGTGAGGCCCCAGCAGTGGGGGAGGGAGG